AAGGGTGCATGTAGTGAAATTGGAGTTTATCTAAATATTCTATGAGAAGGTAAATTAATAATTTAAATTTAATTTCAAGCATTTTTTCCTTTGGAAGTTTTGCTACAAAACCAAATGTTTCCTCATGATGATTGAAAAACGTATAAAATTAAAAAGAAATACTTTAAGTTAAAATTTTCAGTTTTTTTTCAACAGAAAAAATTTCGTATGTCCTCGAACAAATAAAAATAAAGTTTTAAAAGAAACACACCAAGGTACATATCCCCGTCACTTAATTTTAACTTAAAGAATATTGATAATTTCACATATAGCTATTTTTGCCTATTCTAGCTATGTCTTCCTCATACTATAATATATAGACAATTTGACTAAATTAAGTTTTTCGTACTCACCCACAACATCCAGGTAACCAACTTGACTCTTCATCGGATCCGTATTGATCTGGCACATATACCAGCCTTTGTCCGCTTCCTTGACGTCACGTATTCTCAATATCCAAGCACGCTTCTCAGCATGGGTTATACTCATTCGGTTATTTTTCGTTATAACGTGATTTTGTATCGTCAGTATTGTTTGTGTGTCGACACGCAGCCACGCAATCTAGGCAATRGACCAAATTTATCAGGAWCGTCAGGTGCATGTTTGCGTATGGGTAAAGCATAATTCGAGACGTGTCAACCCATTCGACACAACCCATTCATTTTCATATTAGCARATAGTACATAGRCCGCAASACGCACGCATTCATATGCACGTGCGGTCATTAGTTTAGTTTTTGTTTATTTGTATTTACGTATTTTCATTTTATTATGGGCCGCGTGTGCCGGTTTGTTTATTTTTCCATTAAATGTGCAAGTGGTTGTGTTGAATTTTCCACGGGGTTCCACAGGACGTTAGACACATGTGAATATGTGAAATTGTTTGTGTAGGTTGGTATCAGTAAGAAAGGAAAAGAAAAGAGAGAAGAACATTCATGTGAAAATTGTTTGTTTACCTTTAGTTTAATAGTTGAACTTTTTATTAGTTAGTACTGCGTAGAGTTGTCATGTACATACATATATACATGCATTCATGCCTATCATATGTTGATGAATATAAATATACGTGTATTTATAAATATTAATATACATACGTCAGATTGCTTGTGGCCGTTCTGAGTCTTTCACTGAATCAGCTAAGGTAGAGTGTGAGTGCCTCTCTTTGCAGTTAAAGGCAATAAAAGCGTATTAAGATGGATGGCTTACTTTCAGCGGTCGAATTCGTGGGAAATCATATGTAAACACAGACATACACCAATCATATTGTTATCGATTTGCATACGTATATTTATTTGGTATTATTTGTGCACTATTAATAGGTCAGGAAAAGCTTAGTGTTTGTTTAAGCGGTACTTGTAGTGTGACCATCGGAAGGAAAAAATGTTTTGGGAGTTGTTGTAGACTTATTGCACGAAACTTTTTTTGATACTTTATGTTCAAAAAAAAAAAAAAAAAATTTGTCTGAATAGTTAATGAACATTAATTTAAAAAAAAAACTAAATGTAAGTTATTGGCTATCTTTAGAGTGGTTAAATAACTCTAGCACTTCTTACTCTTCTTTATATGACAGCTATAAGCCATAGTAGTCTGATCCGAACAATTTCTTCAGAAATTAGACCCTTGCTTTGGGTAATAATTCGTAGAAAATTTCATGGAGATACTTTGTCAAAAACAAACGTTT